TATCTGCTGCCTTTCCTCGAGCTAGGAGAGACAAAAAGGGACCACCAGTTTTTTAATATGTCATTGTATTAAATTAGTGGTCTGTGTGTGGAGGAAACAGAAGCACTGGGAACCGAGAATGTAAAAGGTCAGAGAGAAACAAGTTTCTGAAAGAGGAGACTGACAATGTTTTGCCTTACAAAATAGGTAAACAGTCCCAAAGCAATAAGGAGATGTTTTCAAAAAAGGCTGAGAGCCCAGCCTCCTTTCACACAGATGATTAGCAGGAGCCAGAAAAAGGTGTCCTAAAATGAAAAAAACAAGATTAAGAAAAATAGACTGCATGCTAAAAATAAGAAGGGAGCTCCTGGACCTAGTTACACTTGCATCCTGCAAATCATGCCATATGGCACAGAGCTACACTCAGTGATTTTCCAGGCAAATTTGTCTAGAACTCTAACGAAGCATCACAACTTTTTCTATTTTACTCAACTGGTATTTAAATATCCACCCTATCAGGACTCAGGTCCTTTGATCTGCATATTCTGCTTCACAGCTTGGCTGGCCAGGCCACCAGCTATTGCTCTGGACACATGGTACACAGAAGCCACCCCTGGCCATGCAGTAGTAGGGAGATTCAGTGCAAGCCAAATAAGAGATTTTGAAGAGGAAAAGCATGCAGAGTTGTGCAACAGTATTTAAATCGAAGTTCAAATGCAAAAGAAATAACCAAACCAGATGGACATGCATTTATAGCAGTTTTTCATCTACCAGAACAAAAATATCCCAAGTCCATTTACATCTGTCACCTCCAATGCCACCAAATCCAGCTCCAGAATTCTCTATGTCACACAAATTCATCAAGGTTTAGGTAAAAAAACAACAACAAAAAAAAAACCCACAAACAAATAAAAGGAAGGGACAATAACATTTTTTCTGGACTTTTTTTGGGCCCAAGCCTTACTCTAAAAAGGGAGTGCTGTGCCTTCAGAAGTAACACATGGCAATGCTAAGCTGCTACTTTATGCAGGCTCCATAAATGTAGTAACCTTGTCACAGTTAGAGATGGGGATGAAACAGCATTGGCCAACAACGTATTGTTCTAGATACGTTTTTCCAGTTTTACTTTATACTAAAGCATTAAACGCAAAACTGTATTTCTGTATCCCAGTGTAACGAACAGTATTCTTTATGCACAAATTGCTTGAGACAATTTAGGGCAAGTCCAAGATAAAGGAAGAGCTTTTTGCAAAATCTCTAAGCTGAATTTTTTTGGAGTTCTATTATTTAAGGCCTAAATGGAACAAACTCTCAGTTTAACTGTGAGAGTTGCATTAAACCTTAATGGTCCCTGATCTTTCAGCAAAAATAAAGGTGCTGCCTGTGTTTAAAATTAACATTTTTTCCTCATTATTTCTATATTTGGAACATTCATGGAAATGAGCACAGTTCAAAGAGAAAATGACCTACCATTCTCCCTCTCCTAAGAGAGCACCATACCTGTTATCCTGGGAGGAACGAACCTCCAGTCACATGCATGGAGAAACTGCCTGGCTCCTAATTTTGATACCAAGGCAAGGCAGACTGGCACACACGTACTCAAGCAAGTGCCCCAAGTGTCAGCGTATTTCAGTCAGTCACATCAGAGTAATAAGTGGGGGCAGAATAAACACCCCAATGGAGACAAGTGCAAAGAATGACAATATTCTTCTAAAAACCCATACACTGAGCAAAATTACGTATCTTCAGAAAGAGAGGACAAGTCTAAATGTGAGTGCTTTAGGGTAGACACTTACAAATTAAGAGTTTCCAAGTGTCAGAGTCTGAGTAGGAAACATGGAAGAAATCTTGCTGCCTTATAAATTTATGACAACTACAGAGGATTCTCACTCTATAAAGTCAAATGGAAGTGTAAATCTCAGCACTACACCTCTGAAAAGCTGAAAATAGGTTCCCCTTGTCATAACTCCATAGTTGTATAACATAGCATCTTAGCTTTGTACTAATGCTCTGTACTTGAAGAGCTAACTCAGGCATTTCTACATCAACAACAGAAGACCAGACTGTTCGAAACATTTTCCCAAAAACTACAGGCTAACAGAAAGGTGTGGGGAGCACAGCATTTGGTACCTAAAGCAAACCATCTGCCTAACCTACCGCCCTAAAAATCTTACCAGCTCCTTGCTCCCCAAGTCCTATTGCTTCAATCCCGTAACAAATGCAGGTACTCACCACAGTATAGATCTGCATCTCTTCCAGAAAGAATAACCTGCTCTCCTAGCCAATTCTTTTGTAACGCAGCTAAAGCGTTTAAAACTTTGCAATACGCTCAAAAAAACCCAAACTAGTTCAACCTAGAAAACCATTGCCAGAAGCAGCCCATGAAACCTTACACGAAAGCTCTCCATGGACTATGTCCTGAGGTAACTGACAGTTCTCCGCATTCTGCAATCATACAACTAGTGTCAAACCTACTTTGCCAGGAAATTATACTCCAGACTATCTTCACATTTTTCATTGAGCCATCTCCTCTGAGGGCAGCCAGCCCCCTTTATTCCCAACTGCCAGACTCCTTTTCCTCCTGTACACTCAGATGCTATTTATCTAGTTTTGACCACTGCCCATCACTGCACCCTTTCCTAGTAATGCACAAGGCACCTTTTGCCTTGCCTTGTCAGGATCCAACACTGACAGAAAGGCATGCCTCAAACTGAACTCAGCATCTCAGGAAAGTGTCATACCTTCCAAAGCAGACCTCCATAAAATAGTATGGAACACCAGTGAAGTTAGCTGTTAAACTGGACTGCTGAGGACAAAAAATAAATAATAATAACAATAATAAAAAACCCCAAACTTAGTTGTGCTAGCCAGCCCTATGAAAGATTTTTTAAAATTAGGTCGTTAATGTTCAGAGCAAAAAAGGTGTTTCTACTGTTCTGCTCCAGAAGCCAAGAATTCTTCACACTACAACTTTAATAGTGCACCCCCTTTCCTCCTTAACAGGTTTCTGCCTCCACTCAAGCAATAAAAATCCATCAAAAAATCAGTAGTAGCTGTGAGGTACATATAGATCACCTTCTGCCTTTCCTCCTAGTTCCAAAACCAAAAAAAAAAAAATTAAACCCCCCCCCCCCCCACAGTTCACAGTAACATGTCAGGAACTCTCTCAGTAAGGTGTCCCATAAAGTGGGGCTCAAACCTCACAAAAATTCGCAACAGAATGCCTGGGAAAGTGAATTCAAGAGCTGCAAATGGGATTGAGCTTAAGTGTGCCAGAAAAATATTTCTGAAGTCAGCGTCATGCCACAGCCTGTCACAAATAAAACTACTTCCTCAAAAGAATACAGTTATTACCTTAAAATTTGCAATGAGCACAGCTGCCAAGCTACACTACTGTCACTTTGAACTGAGGTCCCAGAACAAGCTAAAAGTTAGCTAGAGAGGAAGGGTGGGAGCCTCCTAAAAAGCCCCAAACCAAAACTAAAACCAGAAAACTCCTTTCTTCCGAAGCGCAACTATGAAAAGCTTGTGATCTCAGTTCAAGAACATCACACACTTAAGCCCTTGAATATGCTTCTTCTAAGACTTAGGGGTAATTACCAAAGGGGACAGGCAGCTCAAGTAAGAAACAGTGGAAAAATGAACAAGAGCAAAAAAACGCTGAAGAAGTTTTTAATTTGATATGTTTAGCTTCATTATTTGAAATAGGAACTGAGTGGAACAGCTCCGGGCAGCTATGTGGGGAATGGTTTCCTGATAATTTACAAACATCTCAAAAAGTAAACAGCCAGGACAGTTCCAAAGAGGCTTTTGCTGACAGTTTTAAGCAGGAGAGATAATAGACACTGCTGTGGCTAGAAACAGTTTTCCATAAAGTTGGTTTAAAAGGAGGACATAGATGGAGAACAGACAAATGGCTTCATGCAGATGAGGAACTTTGAATTTACAAACTACAGAAGAAGCTTCAGAACAGGTAAGTGCAGCTCTGCTTCAAAACAAAAGACTGAAGTAATGACTTTTTTTGTTCACCCCATCTAGAGGATTGTATGTTTAAGTCAAGCTTTGTGCCAGGTCAGAGAAGTGGAAGGGTACCACTATCTCATGGCAATGTTCTGAACAAGCTCAGAACTAGAGGAAGCAAAAAAGCCAGATAAAAAGCCACTGATTTTAAATATGTATTCTCTAAACCTAGGAAGTGTTCTAATTTTTAGAAGAATGCAAATCCACAAGTGACAAGCCAACTGTCAATGGTTTGTACAGAATTGTCCCTCTTCCCCCACCTTCCTTTGATTAAAAAACACAAACTGTATCAAAAAAGCAACGTTTTTTATCTATCATAGCAGCTGCTCACCCTGACAGGTTACCTTAAAATTTATTATTTCAGAGGACAATAGTTTATTTCACATACAGAATGTACCTGTGCATACTTCTACATTAGCTTTTCCACTGACACTTTCCACTGTATTCACCAAAATGTGCATTCACCCTCCACTTCATACCTGAATCATGAAGTCATTTTCTTCTTTTACTTCACAAATACACCGAACAATCTCAAAATCACTTTCTTCAACTTCTTCATCAGGGTTTGTGGTTACATCAACATCCTGACTGCAGTCATCATCACTCCAAAGCAAGCTATCCATAGATGACTCACTCAGGGTGTCATCCTCTGTACAAAAAGTAGTCAGATAAAATCCCAAGTAATTACAAAAAGCTCAAATAATTCTCAAGATTTCACCTGAGTATGCAGGCATACGTGGCTAAAAGCATGAGCTCACTGTGTAACTTAAGGAATACCACAACGCTACTACACTATGTAGTAACCTTCAATAAACAGGAAGTTAACACAAAATTTAATCCCGTTTCAGAAATTGCTATTTTCATTTAGTCTCCTGTTGAGGATGCATTTATCAATTCAGGGGTGGTGCATTGCCCAAGGTATTCTCTAAGAATGCTCCCACGCTATTTAACGCATTTATGCATCTCTGTGGATTCAATAAAACTGCCAAGAAAATCTTTACTGAACAACATGCTAAATTGAGATGCTTACCTCACTAACACTAACCCAATGTCTGCATCTTCCTCCGGGATAGAAAGGGGGGAGAGTCAGAGGGAGAAGACAAGGATTTTAACTACTTAGGAAATAAGTCTAATTAGCTGGAGGAAAGTGGAAGGTAAGAATTTTAGTTGCTCTTAAGTACATTGTGGTCTCTTGCCTATATCGGGTAGAACTATTTTGATCAGTTGGCCCCTAAAATAAGACTGTAGAAACAGAAGAACCAGCCTATGGCATAAACTAGAACTTCTGCAGAAACATCTCTCTATTAAGGGGCTGAGAACCCCCTGCATTAGTTAAAGTTTTATTCCACCTCTGAGATAGGACACACTTTCCTGAAGTACTCTGGAAGGGACAGGCACGCTGCACTGTCATTCTACACAAGAGTTTCACTATTACCTACACAAGATCTTGTTTATCTAGGCACTGCTTTTATTGTTAGTACCAATCCTGCAGATGCAAAAAGCAGCAAAGCAATTGCAAAAAGGACAAAATAAACCCATTTCCAATACTTTTCACCTCTTTCAATGTCCAGGAATTGATCAAAAGAAGTCTGAGCAACTGATGGGCACATTACTAAACTGCAAGTACGTTCTATGGTCAATATGCTTCAAGAACCCAACTGATCAGACTTGCAGAACCTGTTTTAAGACACTATCACCATTTGTGCTTCAGTAGTTTTTAATGTTTCCTGTTTTCCCTATATAATGGAATTAACTGAAGTTAATTTTTACATTTTGCCTAATACCAAACAATAAAAGAGTTTTGTCCAAGAAAACAAGTCACCAACAGGGTATCTGTGCAATAAGGAATTTAAGGTTCCTCTACATAATCAGGTTACCACACGTTTCCCATTTCCTTCAAATCTGTGAGCTGTAAGAATTAACAGAACGAAGAAAATATTTGTCTTCCTTTTTTATTGTACTGGCTTGGGACAGTAAATGGCAAGATGGACCGAGACATGAAAAATTATGAAAGCTGGAACACTGCAGCCACATTTTTATAAGCTCTGTTTATGAAGTACTATGAAAACACTTCTTCATAGCTACTCGAGAGCTTCTTATCATTATGAAGGTCAGAAAGTCATTATATCCACGTATCAAACTGCATCTATACAACTACACATAGCCACATCCAGTGGTCTCTCAAACACAGCCCACATACCGTACAAAATTGGCACGGCATCAGTTTTTACCTCTGAGTTATTACTTTGTAGAAACCTCTGGAAATACGAAAAATTTAATTACTGAAGTCTGAACATTGTTATCACAGAGTTAGTAAGGTGCTGCAAAAAGATACAAAAAGAGTTTCAGTTCCAAAATAAGGGCAACAGTCTTAAAGCTTCTGTGAAGGTGAAGTCAAAGAAAAAAGCAGCAGCATCAGGCTCTGGCAAATGACCTGGGTTCAACTTCTTCAGGCACGGGAAACACACAGAGTCCCGCGTAAGAACAGCCGAACTACATCATGAGTACCAGCTTCCATGTCTGTTAGTGCAACTCACATTTACCAGTCATGAAAGACAGAACCAGCAAACCAAGAGGAGTGCCATCTTACCATTGGTTTTTGATTTTCCTCTGTGCTGTCCAGAATCAGAGCAGTGTAGCAGCGTGCTTGGGTGGGCACATGATTTATTTGAAATACATTTTGTGACAACTGATTTTTCAGGAGAAAGCTCCTGTGAAATATCTGTGTTTTCTTCACTGCCAGAGTATTCTGTAAAATTGTAAGAAGTGTCATTATTAGAAATCTGTGGTCAAGAAAAATTGACAGAAGAAAAAGAACCCAGCACCGTGCATAACCACAGCAAGCATGTATAATTCACTGAGTGAGTTTCTGCTTCAACACGCTAGGAGACTCTAGGAATTCCCTACGCTGCTGAAAGATCTGCAAGCTTTCTAGAGCCCAGAAAGTTATTGTTTGAACCAGAAAAGTCTTCTGCAGCTGCTGACGTGAGAACGGCTCAAAAGATTGGTTACTTACACCTAACTATTCTTCAGAATGAATATGCCTACGAAACCTTCTGCACTACAGACTTCTGCACAAGCCATGTCAGCTGGAGACCTTGCCCTCACACCCCACTATTCCTCACATGGACTACACACATTCCCTAATCTCACGAAGCGGACAGAAAGCATCTCTTCTCTTATTTTCCTAGCATATGTATGGAACAGGATGCACGGGTGGAAAAGAAAAGCTCCAATCAGGAATGTGTGAAGAAAACACCTAGAACACTTCCTCTATGAAGTACCCACTCCTCACTCCTGGACTGTATATAAATCGAGGCTGTTCAGTTACCAGCAGTACCCTCCAAGCAATTACCTGGAGAAAATCTTCAAAGTTCCTAGACTGAAGAACCACAGGGCAATGTCAAAAAAAGGCAAGCAACATTTTAAAACCCAAGGGTAACAGACAAACAGTTTGTGGGCACCATTTGTGCAACTATTGCATAAGTTTACAAATTATACTTGCACATTATCATTGTATTTGAGGCCACCATATAACTGGAAACTCACTACAATGATTTGTTTCAGTACAAGTCTGAGTCAGTCTGCCTGTGGTTTGTTCTTCCCCTCTACTTTTTCATGACAGCTTGCCCTATTTCTTCATGGCAGCAAACAAAAACGTAAGGTATTTTCTTTCCCATCTCAGAAACTCCTCCATAAGGTGGTCTAGTTTAACAAATTATGCATGCCAGACTGAAATGTGCTGCATTAATGATCCTCGACACCCATCAATGGCAGAGAAAGTTGCCATGCTGATCTGCAAACATTTCACCAGAGCAATTTTCAGAATCAATTGCCATTTTCAGAAGTGAAGAATGCAATCACCATCTGGGCCTAAATATGAAGTTCAAAGTGGGTAAAGCAGAAAGCATTCCCAAGCCTCTGTAGATGCAATCAGAGAAAACACATTCCAACAATTATTAGTGTAGGTGGAACAACACATTATGAAACACGACAGACAGCGTAGCCTGAGCATAGACCTTAAATCAGGCTTTTACTGCATCTCTCCAGGAGAAGAGAGATTTATCCTTTAGGGAAAAAAAAAAAAAAAAAATAATTGGGATGCAAGAGGTTCAATAGAGCTAATTCTCACAGCCTCTGAAATCCCATACTAAGTGAAGATGTAAGCAACAACAAGGGTAATGGCAGAAAAAGGTGACCCAGCAACATTTCCAAACTCCGTCATTCACACAGGAGCTGCAAAACTAACCCGTGTAACAGAACATATGGCACACGGGGTACCTGGTAACAAACCAAGGGGATTTGCACCTGCTTTACCTGGGTAAAACTTGCATACAAGTACACTTGCTAATGAAAAGCCAGACCTAAAGACTGACATAGCCATTCTGGAGTTAGATTCACTCTGTGCCATTACAAGCACTACTATAAACCATCATCCAGCATAAATTATTCACTTCAACCAGGAAATAAATTATCTTGCCAATCATAATTTAATACTGGCCACTTAATAAAATCAGAACGAACAGATTAATGAAGAAAGCAGTATCATCTGCAATGCCCACTCTTAAAGAGCATGGAACATGGTAACAGGCAAAGAAAAATAATGAAGCCATTTTCCTCTAAAGAAAAAAGAGCTTTACCAGGCTTAGTCCTCTTTTTCTTTTTTTTCTTTTTCTTTGACTTGGACCTTCCATAGTCTTTGGATCTTCTTCCTTTGTTCTTCTCATGGTCTTTAACAGCTGAAATTAGACAATATTCCAACTTAATTTTTAAGATACATAGACACTTATTCTACTTACTAATATTCTTAAAGACCTCCATGATTTCTTTGGACAATCAGGGCCATTTCACTACAAAAAAACCAAGAAAACTTATTTGTAAGAATTCTAGCTCTCATAATTGGAACGGTCTGGTTTAAGTCCTAATTTGATTGTCCTATAACAAAATTACAACAGCATGTGGGAGAAGTCAACTGTACACCAATATTCATTTACTGCTTATGTGCTTCAGAGATTATTAAAAAAGAAAATATCGGGGGAGTTGTTATATCCATTTTCTAAATTATCATGGCTGAACATTTCAGTAGCACTGTGACAGTCTGACAAGAACAAAACCGCAGTCCCCCAAACTCTAGTATAGTTCCTCAGTCAAATATTTTGTTTTCATTGAAAAGGGAGTAACAACTGCTTCAGTTGCCTTTATCTGCTATTCGCTCAACATCTATTCTCCATTTTATTTTTATGGGAATAAAAAACCACCAGAATTTTTGAATGATTGGGTGTTATCTTTCTAGCAAGTCCATTCTCAAACCATGCTTCCAAAGCATTTGCCATGAAGTACAACCCGTTGGAAAGTAACGTCCACAAACCCTCGCTTTTGATATCCTAGCACTTGTTTACAACTCCTGTCTTTCCGATCTAGGTCTCTGCAGCAGTTTCTAGATACTTACACAGTTCCTTAAGTAAATTATCCTGACTCAGCAGAGACTATAGGTTCAATCACAAAATCTGTTATGGAAGGACGTCTTGCATCTCAAAAGGGCTCTGCTCTCAAGAGTACTTAGTGATTAAGCCACTCACCATCCCATTTAGAAACCTATTTCAATTTGTGGTTACTGGTACCAGAATAAGCACCTAAAGACACTCTATATTGTAAGAAGTCTTCTGCACAAAACATTTAAGAACCCTAGGTGGTCTGTAATCACTCATGAAGCAAACCAGCAATACCAGTGTATTACGTTAACCTCTTTCATATATGCTAATAGTAAATGCCCCATATTTATGGTACAAACAGCTCACACTGAGAAACTGGAAGCCTCAGTTATGTTTTACCAGCTATAATGAGCATGCAAGAGACATGCTCATTAGCTCCACCTCATGAGAGTCTTCAGCTCTGTATCCCCCCATCCTCTTAGTCCTTGAACATCTCCTGCTACTTTGCCACTCATAAGTGGAACATATTCCTCTTGTGGCATGTCGTTAGTGATGGCTGCTAAAATTGTGCGTTGCCAGCAGCCACATGGCAGCCTGCCGTACCAACTGCACGTCCTTCAAAGCAATGACTGGCAGCACAAAAGACAAACTTCATCCCCTCTCCATTACCATTTGTTGAGAGGGGTAAAAATAAAACTAAAAAATTAAAAAAAGGAAAGAAGAGGTTCATATTTAAGTCTTAGCCCAGAGCTTCCAACTTCCACCTCCTTCTCCTTTATCCTCATCTCCTAGTCCTCCAGTGGTCAGGATCCTCTGGGCACCATTTCCTTCTCCCTGCTCACAGGGACACACATAAGTTCTGCCATTTTATTCTTCCAGAATGGCAAAGAAAGAATAACTGAGGTCAACATAGGCAGGAAAGTTTTAAAACGAAAAATTTAAAATGAAAAATTTGGAAACTGAAATTTGCATGGGCAGATCATCTGATTTTATTTTTTTTTTAAGATACCTGAGAGCACAGAGTATGCTACTTCAGCCACTATCAACATATCTGTGATAAGACAAAAAATTATCCCTTTGTTCCACACTTTCTTCCCCTTGAGCATGCCCGTATGCCTTTTAAAAATCTGAAAAAGCCAAGTATTGGCAAGTTTGTGTACAGATATCTTCTTAACTGCACAATACAGCTAATGCAGGTTTTCCATTAAAAAAAAAAAAAAAAAAAAGAGAAACCCACTGAAGAATCTTTTTGTCTCAAGTTGTTTCTTGTAAGCACTCTGAAGTCTAATGAATCCTCACTGAAAAAAGACCAGGTAAGGAGGCTACCTAGGTCACAGGTTCACATGACCAAAGAGGAAGATAAACTGCCTTATATAATCCTAAAAGTTTATTAAAAACCCCCACATTTTTAAAAAGGATTTTTTGACAAAAATGTTAAGAACACTCAAGCCCCCTCAATTTCCTCGAACAGCAGAAATACTAAGGAGGACCAGGATGAGTACTCAGTCACACCCTCCACCACCACTGTGAAAGTTTATTCCAATCTCCACGTGCCACACTCTCCAGTAAGAGATGTCCCTCTGAGTCAGCCCAATGAGGAGACACTCTGGATCTCATTCAGACCTTCCTACAAGGGAAGACAGCAAAGGATGCTCAAGAACAAACAGAGGTGATAAGTACTGACTGACTACTGTGACCACCAGAACAATATAGTGACAGGCAAGTAAGGCGATCTCAAGACTCTCCAGAACAAAGATCACCTGTTACAGATAGTCTAAGCACAGATCTTTTTTTGTTTTCTTCATCACATATCTGAAGGAAAGCAGTGATGTAGTGAATCTGGAAGTACGCTGAAAATTATTCACGTATTTTTATATATATATATATATATTTAAATATATGAATTATTTATATATGTGTGTGTGTACACACATACGCACACACCACCCCCTGTATGGCTGTTCCCCACCTACACTATAGTAGATTCCAGTATAAACAGGAATAAACACTGAACAGTCCAATACAAATCCAGTATAAACACTGAACAAGACTGTGAAGTTCAGAGATGTTTAGTAGCAAGGTGTGTTGACCACCAGTAGTCAAATGCTATTAAAAAAAAGAAAAAACTAAGCCATCCTGTCCCTCTCCCCCACTTTTTTTTTTTTTTTTTTTTGCTTTAAGTTCAGGTATCTCAACAAATTCAGGATTCTTACTGAAAACATTTAGTGCTTTGGACAACCAAGAGTTTAACGGAACTAAGACACATATCAAACAAGCAAAAAATAAGTAAGAATTTTTCCACAACCTTAAATACTTTAGTACTTTTTACATCTTAAAAATATTACACACTAACTGGAAAGAATAAACCCCAATGCATATAGCAAGAAAACTTATGAAATTCCCTATATTGATTGTTCATTTGAAACTACTGCAAAGAAACAGTAAAAACCCCACCGCTTACTTTTCATACTGTATACTCATAAAATATTAAACTCTCTAAGAGAAGGTATACAGAATACTTTCTATAAGTGTTGCCAGTTCCTTATAATGCTTAAGACTTTTCCAAGTTTAACTTTTTCACATTAAACTAAAAAGGCGTACCATTTTCAACTCTTTCTTTTTCTTGAGGCTTCCGCAGTGATCTCGCTATGTGGTTCTTGGTTTGTTCTCTAACAGAATGTCGGTGACTATTTAATGCACTTACAGGAGTTGAAGTTCTTCTCTTTTCTATTTTTTCATCTCTATATGGGGTACTCCTTAGGGCTATGTGTAGAGGAGCATCTACAAAGAGAATAAAGATGAAGTCCAAGCTTTAAATACTTCGAAAATGTAAGTCTACTTGTCTACTTTACCAGCAGCACTTCTGGTAGTCCATGTGGAACGTTTCTGCTCAGACACACTACTCCAACTCACAATCCTAGCAACTTGACCCTGGAAGCTTTTAAACAGAAGCTGATTTAAAGGCTAAAACCTGTAATGCTTTTGTTTGTTTCTTTCTTTCAAAAAGAAACAGTGGATGCAAATGCATTCCCCAAAGCTCTATTCCAGAAATACTGTGGTTTTGAAGAAAGATGGAAAGAGAAACAGTTCAGTGTGGCAGAGATATGGGTCAGGTAATTTTTATTCTTAGTTTCTTTAAGAGAAAAGAAGAGGGACTCCATTGATTTAATTAGAGGAACCGCAGCCTGTTCTCAAAAGTGGGCTGGGCTGTGTAATAAAGCATATAGAAATGGCACAGAGAAGCTCTGCCCATCGAAGTAAGGGCAGTTTTAAATACATACCACTGAAACGACAGTGTTTCAAATGAGACTGAGATACAAGAATTCAGGATCACTACCTAAAATTCCTAAAAATCATGAGATACAGACATGGCTTCATCTGAGATTCCATTGACTATTTAAGCAAGTCAAATAGTTCTCCTCTTCCTAATTACAGCTAGCAGCTCCTACTGAAAGACTTGTGGACATGGAAAAAGAGAGGTGAAGCCAATAAAAGCTAAGGCTCCATGGCACACAGGACAGCCTGACTAACTGAGAAAAGTACACTACCATTTTAGCGTATGACATGGAGCATCTTGGTCAATGAGACCCAGTAGCCAAGGTGATAGCTTGCTGACTTTCATCAAGAACGTCCAATTTTATCATCATAAGCATCTCAACAGTTCAGTGGACAAGAAAGGCAACTTCCTTCTTGTCTGAAGACTTACATGCCACCAGATTTTCACTTGGACACCTCTAAATAATTGTAAGTAGTACCTGAAAATGACTGAAAACAGAAGGAAGAGTCCAACAGGGCATACTTAGGAGAAGAAATGGTATCAGGTACCCTGCCCTGACCAACATTTCAAATTGAAGCTATAACAAGGCACATTACGACATGCCATGACAGAGCTTTCCAAATCAAGTGGATCTCTTCAGGTAGAAGAAGCTCCAAGATACAGAAATCTGAAAGCCATCAGAGGACTTTTTTCCCCTGGTCCTCTCACTCAAGTTGCATTAAAACTTAAAAAAACAACCCCCAAAAACCCACCAAAACACCAAAAAACCCCACGAATAGAAGCCATTTGTAAATATTTCCATAACCAAACTGTTACTTCTAGTCACCTGCCACAGCGCTTTACAGCAGCCACAATGGAAGACAGAAATCAGATCAAACCCCAAGTTTTTCAACACATGACTCTCTCCTAAAGGTCCCTTTTGTCCAGTCAGGCAACCCGCTCTTGCCTTTCCCTTCTTGCTTATTTACCTCAAGAGCTGCAAGACTGTAGAAAGTAGCATGTTTTGTCCATGAAGAACTATCAAAACCAGAAGATACTCCTTGATAAGATACCGCAGTATGTGTATGGCCTTCCATTTTCAACAGGACTGACTTTGGCTCTTGCAGGAACAAGCATAAAGCAAGGGAGGGGGTGGTGGTTGGTTGGGTTTTTTCAAATACAGGCCTATTTTTGCTAACAGAATTTGCTCATCTGAGGACTTCCATGATTAGCAGGTTGACCAAGACATCATCCATTCAGACAGACAAAACTTCTTCCCCATGGTACACAGTAGCTGAAGAATAAGATTAAGGTGCTTCATAACCTGTTTGGGAACACCAGTGTCCTAACAAACTGTCTGAAATGCAAACTGTTTGTAGCAGTACGTAAGTCACGTAAAGGAGCCTTTCTTGGGCTTTCCTGATTGTCTATCATTCTGCACTAAATTTAAAAATTATTTACAGAACACTATTTCAGGGAACCCCAAAATTACAGTACAAGAATCTATACAAACCAGACAACCTTCGTTTAGGCCTCCTAACATTCCCCTCAACTCATTTTCATGAATTAACATTTGGAGAACCCTGTGGCCACCTTGATCCCACCAGTCTTTCAAAGAGCACACGGCATCTGGGCTTCCTGCAGGCTGAAATCTGAGCATGCAGACTCTTGGTGGAACTAAACTGTTATTTTGGGTCCATTAGGTTTTTTTAGCTTTGTGAGACTGAAGTTTAAGATTTTTGCCAAGAATATGCTGTATCCTTTACGACACGTAACAGTTAATACATTTCTGTAAGATTTTTCAGCCACCAGTAACACTGTCCCGGGGGAGTTCAGGAGTACACTATCATACACCAGATGTATTTTTCTTCAATAACGGACAAAAAAATAGGTATCAATGAATATATTAAGTTTTGAAACATCTTTTGTTCCATTGATAGAAAAGTTTAGAGCATCTATGGGATCTTTGAGCACTCTGAAGTACATTTTAGGGGTTGAGACTAAATTTGAGAAGATGACACTAAAAAACTGGAAAGTTATTGTAAACTTTTTAGAAACTAAACATTAAAACTTCTGCCATGAAGACCCAAACTTGTAAGCCTTCGACATTCAGTGTCCTGTTTCCTCTCAATACAACATTTTCAAGTATAATTCAGACAGGTATTCATAAAATTACCCACAAAAGAACAAAGCGCAATTACTTACTGTAACAATCACAACCAAGAACTTGTATTTAGGCATATGCCTTTAGAACTTGCCCATTCCCCAAGTTCAGACTTTCTGTGTTAGCACCACCTGCAGCCTGTGTCATGTGCGTTCATCCTCCTGACCCTCTGAGCCAGCCTCCCCTCTCTGGTAGGATTCCTACTCCTCTGCCTCCTCCCCATCACAGGAACTCCCGATCGGCAGTTTCAGGAAAGGCCAGCGCAGAGCACACAACACACCGTATTTACACGTGCTGCGGGTCTGCAGCAAACAGCAGGACTAGGCTCAGAGACTCCTACTAGGAAGCACAGAGGAGACTCCTATGCATTTCCTAAAGCTGTCTGTGAGGGGTCCCATGCAGACACCTGCACTTATCTTACAGAGATATCCTGAGGTGGGACACAGGTGGCATCTAAGCTACAACTCCAATGCATTCCTGATGATGACCAACTCAAACAAAATTCAAAACAGATATCAGTACCTTTTAATACCTCTATGATCCAGAATATCACTAATCATCATCAGAATTACACAATTCTCTGTAAATACACCACAAAAGCCCTCCTGACATCCAGGGCAATGAACAGTTTCACTGTTCTTGAACAGTGATGCTGTAATTAAAACACCAGCTGATTAATTTCTAGCTCAGATGATGCTAAACACCACTAACGGGAATAGGAGACATGTTCATAAAAAACTGGAGATGGAGTGGCTTGCTGATTAACTGCTCAAAGCCTTGTTCCAGACCTCTCTTCTCTAAGCCTCAGAGAAGTATCCTCTTCCATATAAAGAGCTGATCCAGAAGCAGCGAAGGACCCTGAAAACTAACAAATACAGACCTGAGATATGAAACCACCTCAACCACATAGAAACCACGAGAACAGAGCCTTAAGAGAACTTATAGCTCAGCATGTCAGACTCGGTAGCAGACAAGGCAATAGCTTTCTGTTCAATGGAACACAAAAGACTGTAAGACCCCTGCTAAGAAGATAACTCAGCCTTCACAGGAAGCAGAGACTGAATTCCCAAGTGTTGTGAATTAGACAATATTCATCATCCACAGCTGTGAGATCTCTTGCTGAGAATATCCACTTGCTGAGAATATCCACTGACATTTTCAAGAACTGAAAGATCACTTATCATCTTGACTTACAGCTGAAATGTTTCACACAGCCATCTTCCACAAACGTAAAGCAGAATTCAAGATAAGCCACAAAGACAATCGGCAATTCTGCAGAACACAGAGGGTGTCAATGCAGATCTTCACCTACTCTAATGAGAAACCCTGTGTTTGTAGGTCACTGCCTAACAGAGAGGCATCCATCAGCCAATATTCAGAGGAAACAGGAAAATCCCAAAGGATCACCCTGAAAACCACTAAGCCACATGCCAGAGGTTCCCATGTTAACAGCTAACAGTTGACAACTGGATGCCTCAGATGTTTCAGCTGTCTAAGCAAGCTGGTCCACCTGCTCCCTAGACATGCACAGTCAGGACCTCACCAGTGACATGAGTAAAGCTGAGACCCCTGTAACGGGTCTGCATGGCAAGGTTTTGG